TGTCGGCTTTTGAGCCGATGAAGGAAAATCTCGTACGAATGTACGAAGAGTTGCCAACATGGGGTAAAGCAATTTTTGCTGGAGGTGCAGTTATTGCCATATATATACCTTTCCGTTATTTTACCACAAGACCCAGAAAGTCACCGATTAAGGAAGATTATGAGAAAGGTAAGGTAACAAACAGTATTGATGGTTTTTTTATTTCATTGTTGTTGACTTTACTAGTTAAGGATAAGTAAACCGTGTGTTTCATAACTGATTGGTTTATAGATGTGGTATATCTTTATCAGTTTCCTCGTGTAAAATATGTCCCATCTTTTTCTCCTTTCTGCCTGAAGCTCGAAACGTGGTTACGTATGGCCGATATCAAATATGAGGTATGTATTCGGAATTGTTTATTGTATTTGCAGCGCCCGTGTTACTTACTATATGTTAGTCATTTTTTGATCAAGATCATAAGATTACCGAAGCAGTGGATAGTTTTAACCAGCATGAATAGTTCATTTTATTAACTGGATAACTGAATCATTTTGTCTCGTGACAAGAGGTAACTTACGCAATTTTCGTTATTCTAAACGAAAATGATGGACAATTTTCGTGACATGATGTGTTTTTCTTTCTAAAAGAAAGTTGTTGAAAGGAATGAAAAATAGAGTAATTCGTTTGAAAGAGTTTTTTATTCATGCAAAACAAGTAATATTTGAGCACTTCGAAAACAAGATTGTTGTTCAGCTGGAAGAAACGACAGAAAAAGTTTAGGGATAGTTGGGAAGAAAGAAAAAATTTTTTCTTTTTTCTTCTTTGAAATCATCTGGACAGATAGCATTTTCTTTTTCGTACTTTCTTTAAAAACTTTAGCATAGTTTGACAGTCACAGTTTTTCTTCAAGTTTTCCCAACAAAAAAAATTTCGCCGATGATTTATCTATGCTCTTCCTTAGTACCATTTTTTAACGAGGGAATAATGACTATTCTGATGGACTTTTTAGAACGTTAACTGTGGTTTCTTTGTTCGTTCTTGCGAAGGTACATTGCCGTTCCTTGAGTACAATGGTCGCGAATATCCGGACTCGTCGTTGGCAATTCGGTAAGTCTTTATCGTAATGTAGTGAATTGATTTAATTGGGGCAACTCTTCAAATCTTACCTTGTTAATACCAGTTACTACAAGTATTATTGCTGTTAAAACAGAACCACCTTTGTATCTAAAATGCATTGTTTATTTCTGATGATGTTGTATGTGAACTGCATCAGTTCAAAGGTTTGTGAATAGGTTACAGGTAACACTTAATAAGTGAAGGTTGATTAGAGTACGGTGGATAAAGTCAACAGTTTTGAATAATTTGGAATATCATTGCTGCTTGAGTCAGACTTGATAGCTGCCAATTATACAGTTTTTTGACTGGTACCCTTTAATTAAAGTTATAACCCAACCATCACTTTTTATTTAGTGATATGACTGAGATCCATTCAAAAGAATCCATGGAGAATCACCTGACTGACGAACAACGCTGTACAGCACGCGCATTTGAAAAGCTTGCAGAATGTTCGCTGTTTCCAACAATCGCCCTGTTTCGTTTCACAGAGTTTACTGACGATTTCCTGAATCAAATGCCCGACAGCTACTTTGGTTTTCTCACTGTGTTTGTCAAGCAGATTGTAAAATCATTTGAAGCGAACCAAGTGGGTTTTCTTTTCTGTCTGCATCATGTATATTACACTATCAATTTTATCAACTGCATAGTATAAGAAAAGTAGCATACTTCTCAAGTTTTATGAACCAATATTGTTTTTTTACGCAATTATTTCGTTTCATTGTTTACCGTCATTTATCGCTTTTATATCTTTGTTCGTGCAACAAAGAAAATAAACTATATTTGATATTTTTACGTTAGAGAGGATATTCTTTTGATCACACTAAGCTGAATTTAGATCAGAACTGCGATGAAATACGTGGGTATTGGTAAACATAGTCGAGATGAGGTGATTAATATTGCTGCTGACGATCTTCGGGCAATTTCACGTTATCTTGGCACAAAACATTATTTTCTCGGTTTCAAACCTTCCAGGGTACCAAATTTTTTTCGTTTGTTTAAGGGAAGAGAATTCCTGGTTTAGTTGCTGAGTTGTGCAATCTTTTTGTTGCGAATTTTTTTGTCAGTCTTTCTAATTGCTTTATTTGAGCGGTTTTACAGTGTAACTAGGTTAGCAGTGAACTTTGTGAACTGGCTGCAGTTGATGCATTTTCTAGGTGGATGCAACACTTTTCGGAGTTCTAGCCCAAATTGTTTATGTTCCATATGATCTGCCGCAAAAAAGACTTATCGAGAATGAATTGACGAATTTGAAGGAGTATTGCGAACGAATGAAACGTTGGTTTTTTTAGCAATATTATTTGTGTTTTAAAAGGCGATATTTTATCAAAGCTGATTAGTGTAGTATCTGCTGGTACAGTAAAGTTAAACGTATGATAATTTTTTTTTTAGCTTACTATTAGAGTATTTTCAGAACGTTTTTGGCCAGACTGGGAGGAATGCACAACGAAGTTTTCTTTGAAAACAAATTACAAGAAATAGCAACTTCGTACGTTTAGAATTTATGGTCTAATATGCTGAAAATGAAGTAATTATTAGTTTAATTCTATGTTAAGATCTCTAGCTTGTTCTTTTTTTTTCTTTTTTTTTTTTTTTTTTTTTTTTTTT